TTTCTCTGAAGTAACAGATGATATTTCAATATGTAAATTTATTTAATTCAATATTTTGCAGTTACCATAGACTTTTGTCTTTTGTTTCAGTTGTTCTTTGTGTGCCATTTGTTCTTGTTGGGTTGTTGGTTGTTGTTCCACTTGCATTCCAACTATACACAGTGAAAATCAAACAAGCCCCAAAAATGGAATAAGAAAATATACCGAGAAAATGAAATGAGCAGTAGAAATATAACTAATGTGTTCAGAGAAATATAACTTCCAGAGAAAATTACCAATGACAGAGAAAATTATAATAAATAGAAATTTCTCTGAGTTATGATGACACTAGGACATAACTTTTTGTGGCTCAAGATTTTCACTGACCTTGGGATTAAACTTGTGTTGGTGTTTGGTAAGATTGTGTTGCTAGTTGGACGGATAGTTCTTGAACTTATTCATGCAATTTAGCATTTTCATACAGTTGGTAGAAGGAACCTGACCTTTACAACAAATGACATGACCTTGATTTTTAGTTTGGAAGGAGGTAAAGGAGCCATGTCATTAAGATATTCTAAAAACCAAAATCTGCATTCCTCAAGAGAAGATTCCAAAAGGACACAGGCTCACTGGTCCCGTTCTTAAAAATGCTTGGTCAAAGCAATGAAAGGCAAGTAACCAACTGACTTCAAAGATGTAGCAATCATTATTACATTGTACTTGTGTCTCACCCTATTTTTTGCACAAGTGAGAATTCAATAGGTTGGGTTTTTATAAAGTATGTGGAACCTCTTGAATCAATGAAACAGTATGATTGGTCGGAGTAATCACATCAACATTGATTGATTCTATCATGGCATTGCACAAAACTCCAGAAAAAGTTACGGGGTGTGTTATTGCATTGCTGGTAAGTATAATATCCATTCAAATTTGCGGTTATCATACTTACAAATTTGTGCGTTTAGAAAATTTTATTTACTTTCATTTTATCTAGTATTTGGCTATGTGAACATGCAACTAATCATTGACTCGGAAGATGTAACACAACTGACTTTCCAAGATGTGCCAAGTGAACCTGCAACCTTGACGAAACAGCTGCAGAAGACACCAGTCCACTCTCTTGCACCTCGGCAAGTTAGATTCTTATTGCTACTGAAATCTCAGTGAAATTCCAAAATTTCTCTGACCACTGCTTTGTTTTCCTCCTTGTGCATTGATTCATTAAGATCAATTTTCTCTAAACTATCAATTTATGTTTTCTTCTTTG